CATCCTTCATGGCCTTTTTCCACTTGTCATTTTCTAAAGCTTTCTCAGCTGAGTTGGGTTCCTTGTCTTGAACTTGAAGACTGTAGATCTTGGGCTTGTAAACCCCAACTTTGGATCTTATAACCATTGGGTGAACATTCTGAGGTTGTTGGCCTTGAGTGCTAGCTGAGGAGTCTGGTTGAGTGATTGAAATAGGGAGATCAACTACCAAAGGAATAGTAGAGTAGCTGTTATTTTCTGATCTGGATGCACTTTTTCTATCACTTTGAGGTGTCACAGCCCTTCCAGCTGATGAAGGAAATTCTTGTTGACAATTCTTATCACAATCCTCCTTATCATTAGGTTCAATGAATATATCAATTATAGGAGCTCCCAAGTGATGAGTAGTATTGTTCTTTTCCTTGTTTTCTGTTGCCTCTTGATATGGAAAAATACCCTCATCAAATACAATATTCCTTGTTACTATCACTTTTCTTGAAGGTAGCATAACCTTGAATCCTTTGTAGTAAGGACTGTACCCCAGAAAAACACTAGGTTTTGATCTGAACTGCAGCTTGTGTTTATTGACGGGTCTGGTATGAGTAAAACACAAGCACCCAAAAGACTTTTATGAGGTTGTAATTTGGTTTCTTCTTATACAAAAGGGAGAAATATAAGTCAGGCCCTTTGTTGGTATTCTACTTATGGTATAGCAAGCTGTAACAAATGTATCATCCCAAAATCTTGGTGGATGTTTGGAGTGATGCAGCAAAGATAACCCCATTTCCATAAGATGTCTGTGCTTCCTCTCAGCCACACCATTTTGCTGAGGGGTGTAGGGACAGGAAATTTTGTTCTCTATGCCACACTCTTGAAAGACTTTAGTGAGAGTTTTGAATTCGTGCCACCATTTTATTGAACCCTTTTGATTTTTCAATTTAATTGGTTCTCTGCAAGATTCTTAAAGTGGACAAAAGTTGCATGCACCTCATTTTTAGCCTTGAGTAAGTAAAGCCAAGAAAATCTACTAAAGTGATCACCAAACACCACATAATATATATAGCCATTTGTTGATTTAACTGGTGCAGGACTCCACAAATCAGTGTGAATCAAATCAAGAGGATGATTATAAACAGTATCAGAAGAAACAAAAGGCAATTTGTGACTCTTAGACACTGAACAAGAAACACATAAACTTGAATTTTCATTAACATAATAAGAGTGATTACATGCCTTCAAGGCCTTTTCAACAGTATCTAAGCTGGCATGTCCTAGCCTTTGATGCCATAAATCAAGACTAGGGGTCTTATTTAGGGAAACTGAATTAACTGAAAACTGATTTGGACTTGGGGAAACTCCATTGAGTGAGGGCTGCAAACTTGTAGCTGGTTGAAGATTGAAGAAGTATAGTCCATCTCTAACTGTCCCTTTTAGAAGAGTGGCTTGAGTTGTTTGATCCTTAACAAGACAAGAGGAATGATGGAACTCAAAATACACATTATTATCAAAGGTAAATTTGGACACACTGATTAAATTCTTAGTTATGCAGGGTACATACAACAGTTCCTTTAGAAGAAAGGCTTTACTACTATTTAAAGGCTTGAGAAAAGTGTTACCAATGTGAATGATGGGAACTCCTGTTCCATTGCCAATCTGAAGTTAATTTTGCCCATTGTACTTAGAAGCAATGCTCATATTTCCAAGCTCATTAGTAACATGCACTGAAGCACCAGAATCAGGATACCATATGCTCTCATTTCCATAGTATGATGCAGCACTAGAACCAGCATATTGAGTGAGATTAAGTGAAGGGTTTCTATTTCCAAAGGAGCTGTTGTTGTTGCTATTGTTTTGTTGCTGTTGTGGAGTGTAATTTTGGTCATATCTATACCAACATCGATCTCTAGTGTGACCTGAAATTTTGCGAACTTGACACACTGGCCTATTGTCTTGGAATCTGCCACATCTTTCTCTATTTCTTCTACCACCAACTGTGCCACCCCTATTGTTAGAGAAGCCTCTGAATCTTCCTCTACCTTGTTCATTTGGGTTGTTCCTCCTTTGTTGAAACTGAGTTGTGGAATTGACTGATGGTTGAGATCCTTCAATGTAGGCACTTGGTAGAAGTTTATTGTTGAGCTCTAGACTTGCCTCATAGCTCAACAAGAGAGCTTGCACCTCTGTGACTGTATATGGCTCCAATCTGGATGTCATTGAAACCATCACTGAGTCATACTCAGTTCCCATGCCACTTAGAATATGAATGATCTTGTCTCTTTCAAGAACAGGTTGTCCTGCTGAAGCCAGATAATCAAAGGAAGTCTTCATTTGATTCAGATATTGAGACATGTTGGGATTGTTCTTCTTAAGGCCTTGAAGTTGCATCTTGTATTTCATCAGTTTGGCTGTGGTTTGACTGGAGAAATTTGTTTCAAGAGACTTCCAAATCTCTCTTGCGGTATTAAGGCCAACAGTTTGGATCAACACGGTTTCACTCAAGGAAGATAACAACCAAGATGCAAGAAGTTGATCTTGCCTTTGCCAAAAAGCAAAATATGAATTTATCACATGTTGTTGTGTATCTGGTTCAGGACATATTGAGATGGTGGTGCAGCATCTTCACTAATAAACCTTTCAAGACCATAACCTCTAATGGTGGTCAACACTTGTTGTTTCCAGATCAGAAAGTTTCCTTCATCGAGTTTTGTGGTGATTAACTGGCTTTGAGGAAAAATGAGGGGTGTTTGGATGGAGGTGAAGGATTTTGAATTTCATGGCCAGATCCAATACTTGAATGACTCATGCCTGCCATGGATTATTAAGGATCTTGTTGGTTTGCTGCAAATGGATCAGTCACGGGTTGTCACACCCGCTCTGATACCATGAAAGCAAAGTGAACAAAACGCAGCTAGCATGTGTAGAGTAAATCGACATAATTGCTTCTTGTTTCATAGAAATGGTAAGTTACAGCTGCTAGGTTTTACAAAGGGAATATATTTTGACAAGACAAGTAAACCCTCAGCTCACAACACTCTCAGCCAGTAGATCATCACACGTGTTACGATCCTGAGACATGTGCATGGGGCCACAGTAACCGAGGGCTGATTGGTTCTTTCTCATGCACGTTTCCTTCTTGTCCAACAAGCTAATGAGATGTCACTCTTTGTCCTGACATGGAGAAGTAGCACAACGTTTAACAACCTCAGTAGGAGGACCTACGCAAGAAGGGACATGTGGACATGATACTATAGTGTGATCGTAGTTAAATATGAATAAGTGTGAACACAATCAGATAAGAACAAATCTTGAGCAAGAGATAAGGATTTGAGTCAACAAGAAAATGATAAAGTACTTGAGAAATACAATAACCACCTCCCTATATAAGGCGGTTAAGTAGGGTAAAACTCTTTCTTTCTCTATCTATTTGAATATTCTAAGGGTTAATTACTATACTTTCTAAATTTGATAATTGACATGAGTGCGTGGGTGCTCACGTTGGAACTTCTCACGGTCCTTGTTTTATAAGTCATCAGTTTTACTCGAACGATCGGGGTTTTCCAGTTGTCAGTGATCCTCAACTTGGATAATCACTATTATTATTTTAAGATTTCCTCACCACACCATTTAATTATTTTTATTGTTGTTATTATTATTATTAATTATTATTATTATTATTATTATTATTATATTACTTCACATTAAAAATAATTCTTTTATTATTATCTTTTCCATATAAAAACCTTAGCCAAAGTAAAACAATATCCAATAATTATGGGCTACCCCATTTCACTAGTTTTGTCCTTATTGAATAATACATCTGCAGCCACATCTTATCAGGTTAGCATGGGTTGAATAAGTCAGAATCATAAAGTACCTAAAAGCCTTTTTAATATACACAATTAAGTTTGTATTTTTGTAAATGGCGGCACATGTTGGATTTTTAACTTATTCCAACTTTTTCATGTTCTTAAAGCACAACAGTCATTGTTCGATTCGTGTCAAAGGATAAGAATAACAACTATCGCGCGTGTAATTTTATATAGCACAAATTGAAAGTATCTAATTAATTTGATTTGATCCATATACTGGAAGAGCCCCCACACAACCAAATTTTACAAACTGCTTTTGTAGCATCAACCAACAATCACAAATCCCAATAAGCAAATCATATTGTTTTCTTATAAATTCATCCATATTCACATATGTTTATAGTGTATTTATTATAAGACATGTGTTAATAAATTATTTCGAAATTGTAAGAAACGGGAGGGGGGGG